ACCCCCTACCCCCCACCCCTGGGGCCCAATCTTCCTCTGCAGGGATCCCAACCCTGACCCCACAACTGTTGACCACACTTGGGGCCCACTTCACATGGCAAGACTGATCCCGGGGTGCCCATCCTTGCCATGGCTCGAGGGCTCCCCTGCAGTAGGACCTGGACCAAGAGAGGGGTTTTGGGGAGTGGAATAGCTCCCCACTGGGTTCCCTGCCTGGTGGCTGGATGAGCTGGGGCAGGCAGGCTCTGATGCCAACTGCTCTCTCAGTGACAACTTGGCACAGCGGGCTGGTGGGCTATGCTCTTTCCTTGATTCTGAGTGCTCCTGCGCCCTACTGGGATTCTCCTGGAAGTATTTGAGGGCCTACATATATGGGGTGACCACCAGGTCTAGGAGGGCATGGGTTGTCTCAGTGGGGAGGGCAGTGTCATAGATAGCCTTTGACTTGGGACCCTGCCACTCTAGTCCTGCTCTCCTGGCCCACCACCAGGTGGCTCCTCATAGGCACCTGGTGGCTCCTCATAGAAGGGCATACTGTGCCTCTTGCTCCTGGACTTTTTATTTGTGTCATGCATGTGCTTGTACTGGATCTTCATCCATTTCATCTTGGCTCAGCACCTTGTTGTGCTCAGCTCAGTCTTTGTTGTGGCCCCATGTTTGCATCTGTTGGGCAATGCACTTGAACATGTCCCTGTTGTGGTGCCCTTCATGGAGCTGGTACTGGGTCTTCTTCTTACCCCTGATGGTGATGAGTTTTCTCATCTCCCCATAGTCCCAGTTATGTGATTGGCATTGGATACTGGAGGAGGATGGGACAGATTTTTCCATGGTCCATGGCAGTGCCCATAGGGCATCTGTGGGTGGATGGGGGTCTGGTTACAAGGAGGTGGCTGGAAGGGTGGATGGAAGGAATGGTGGGTATACATAGGTGTGGGTCCCAGCATGTGAGTCTCCCTCTCAGTGCAGCTGGGTGCAGCCTCTGTTCCAGTGTGACTGAGCACCACTGGACAGGCTACTCCCATGACCTCAACCTTTCCAGGGGCTTCTAGCAGATGCTCCATGATGCTGGCAATGTCCCATGTTCCTGGCCTGGAAATTTCCAGTGTTCTCTACCTGCAGCACTGAGGCAGCTGGCCACATGTCACCTGCTTCTGAAGTTGCCAGAAGCATCTGCCTAATTGTAATCTAACTTGATTCAATAGGGAAACAGTATAGAAGTTTGATGCATTGGTCTAACCTAAATCAATCTGAACTGTGTGCACCTCCCACCAGGTTTATCTTAGATTGCTTGCACCATTTTTAGACCAATCTATGTATGCTGAACTTCTATATGGGTATGGGTTTAAATCGATCTACGTTCACTTAAACTGGTCTAAATGTAATGTCTGTATGTGCCTATATAGACCTTTTATGAGAGAGAATCCAAGTCACTGGCCTTCTTTGTACCTCCATTTACTCTTCTGTACAATGGGAATGATAGTAAAGGGGTAGTTTGAAGGTTGCTTCATGAATGTTTGTAAAGAGTGTTGAGCCCCATAGATGGAAATTGCTGTGGAAGTACACATCATTGTATGATATCACACACAATATCTAAAATCTATTTTCCTACATATTCTTTCTTACCAATGTTTCATTTGAACATGTTTGCAGAAATGTCTCACTCAGATATTAATGGTCCAAGAGTATGGAGTCAGTTTCCCAGAAAATGGTAGAATGAAGATCTGTGAAAATATGGAATGCATCTGGGAAGGTATGTTGCTGGCACAGTGAGAACTACCAGTACACACTGGACAATTGTTTTCTATTTCTATTTCTAGTATTTTTATGTTCTGAACTCAAGTTGTCAGCAGTTAGGGCTTGATCCAAACCATGTAATTAATGGGAGTTTTACTGTTTACATCTTTGGGCTTTAGAGCACACCAGCAATATCTGACAGCTCTGAATAGCCATGCTGATAAGCAAAATCGTCCCTTCCTGAATCAAGCTTTCAGAGAGATGTCTCAAGAGTTTTTTCAAGATACTTAAGTGGGAAGATTTCCTCTTTTCTGTCAGTGATTTTTTTTGCTTCACTAATTTTAACTAGTTAGAGGGTGAAAGAACTATTTTTAATTCCATGGCCCTAAATATGGGCTCTTCCAATGTGGGACACTGAGAAGATGGCATTTAGCCCATCTACAAAGACAGCCATAGGTAGTTGTTAGCTCCAGTTGTTAGCTTAATTTGGGTAAACTTCCCTGGTATTTTGATTGTCTTTGTGAAATTTTGAAACCTGGCCATGTGAATGGTGACCATGTAGGTCACTCATTTATCTCACAATAAATCATCATAAATTTATCATGTGATAAATTGTGACATGCCATGCATTTTTAACAATTTATCACCTGATAATGAACCACAAAATGGTGATCCAGCCTCAAAGATATTACTTGTTAAATGTAGAATAACTTGAAACTCATTTGCATCATATTTTAATTTGAATATGTGGCATGTTACTTATAGGGTAATAGTGTTTGGCCAGGTCCTCCAGCGTCCGAGGGTAGACTGCTCTCAACTCCTACTCTCCTGCTTCCTGCAAGTCAGCATAAATCACTTCTGTGACTTTTACTCAACTCTGTTGCCCTAGAGTGCAACAGCAGATGTTCAAAGATACTTTTTAAGGAGCAATTTAGCATCTCTTCATATGAGAACCAGAGAGTCAAAAAACACTAACATGCTTTACTTGTACACAATAGGAGCCTGAGAGAGGAGGAGGGAA